CACGCGTTTCGCTGCAAGATGGGATGTGACCTGGAGTGGGTACATGTTGCGGCATTCTTTGGGGTTTGCTTGCCTCGCTTGCCTTGCACTTTCTATAAATATGGTGTGCGATAGACCACCGTGAGCTTTCTGTCCGTTGACTCGTTTGGTAGTGTCTGCAGGTCTGCCACTGGCTTGCCAAGTCTACTGCAATTATGTCGCCCCTATGCAAGGCCATGTTGAATTACCGAAATATAAATGGGAACAGAGGAGAGGGGACGTTGCCAACACACATTCCTGGTGAAGTCGGCTACATCATTCACCACACATTTCTTCGATTATGGTTTGGTGCTCGAGCTGTGGTGCTCTGGTCGGCGGGAAATCATCGCTTGAACCCAATGTGTCTGTGGAAACGTCTGCCCCCTCCCGCCTAGCCCTACATAGCTCCATGAATTCTCTCTTTCGCAGCCTTTGCAAGGTTTTCAGCGTACACAAGGGTGTCAACAACGAGAGTCGCATGCATAAAGATGTCCGACATGCGGCCAGACCTCGCTGATGAGAGCTGGCTGATGATGACACTACTGTACGTGTTGATACGATCGGGCATTCCTCCACAGCTGAAACCACAGCTGAAACCAAGAGTATGGTCTGTTTCTCTTGTCGCCTTTGCAAGACTAGACTACAATAGTTAAAACCGATAAGGGACACAGGGGACATGCCTTCGGTAGACACAGCTAGCTCCCTTTTTTTGCGCTGCTGCTCTTCTAGGCGGCAGCGGTCGGCGGGTGTAGAATAATATCAAAACCGCACAATAGAACCCGGTAGACACAGTTCAATTCACAGTGGTCGATCCGTCCAATCAATAAACCAATCCACGGCCATCGTCTGTTGTGTGGGACGTAGACTTTGCAAAACAGAGTCGTGCAGGGTTGTTTCCTGCGCTCAGGATTTCTCGTATTTTCGCTCAATCCCCTCCCGCCGCCATCGTAACCATTCTATCGCGCGCGGGCTAGCGAGCTGACACGTTTGTCGGCCGTTGGTGCAATTCGAGGCGACAGCGCCCGGGAGGGAGGGATAGATGAAAGGGGTATTTCATCGATTAGCATCGAAGCATCGCCAGCAGCAGCAGCGAGCATCGACTGCTGTCCAGACTAGTCTAGTCTATAGGTCTACGCTGTGCGTGTGAACACCGCATGTGTCCTCTTCGTCGGAGAAGGGGCGGTGCCCATTAACACTACGGGAAACGGGGAGGGCTGCAGCAGAGAGGAGCAGCGACTCGCTCCTGCCTCCGTCAACGTCAACCTCACCACACGTCAACCCCAGCCAGCGAGCCAGCGGAGCCAGCCAGCGAGCACCAGCTCGCTCCCTCGCTCGCGCAGAGCAACATACATCTCCAGGACCGTGTTCCAGAACTGAACCATCTTTATGTTTCCCGAGAATATTCCTGTAAGGATACTTTCTCGACAAAGTCGTGAGGTCCACTCGAATATTCTGGGAAGATACGAGCAACCTTTAGAACGTTCCCCCGCACAGAACGTGAAACGGTCATAACGGCTTCCGACGGCTCCCTCCGTGCGCACAACAAGTGGGCCTTCGTCGCATCACGACGTGTGAACGCCTTGTTCTTAGGGTCGCCCCCGAACCCTGCACGCTCAAGTTATCTTGCTGCTTGTAGATGTCCAGGCGTGTGACGCTTTTGACAGAGTTTCAAAATCAGTTGTGCACACGGGACATTTTGCCTGACTCACTTGGAAGAGGATTTCAGGCTTACCCGGGACTGTAGCTGCCCGATAGACAAACAGCTACATGCTGTTATGTGTGTCAGAGGAATAATGGTTCTCACCCGCGGTGCGAGATTGGGCCTAAATACATCTCGAACGTCACCACACTGCTGCTGTATTGGCCAGACCGAAAAATATTCAAAGTCCGCCGTGCTTGAGGACAAGGCACATACCCTTCCTTGTCGCCTTGTCGCCTGCTTCCCGGGCGAGGGCGTCCCAATGCACCCACCTACAATATGTATGTATCACCTTCAACCAGACGACACCGCAGGCATGAAACTGCGACACTACAGCAGTATATCCCTTGAACAAACACCTCCACCTCCTCTGCCCTACATTGACGCTGCTGTTATTTTCTGTTGTGCTTGGTTTCCTAGCGAATCATGGACTGACCAGCTTACAACCCACCGTGAAACAAATGTAGTTCGTTTCAACAAACATATTCAAGAGAACGACAACCCTCTGCCTGCGATATCATGACAAATTAAATGAGCACCGGAGGGCTAGATGCAATGACTACGAGCGGGAATGCCGACACGTGTATCGGGGNCCTCCTCTGCCCTACATTGACGCTGCTGTTATTTTCTGTTGTACTTGGTTTCCTCGCGAATCATGGACTGACCAGCTTACAACCCACCGTGAAACAAATGTAGTTCGTTTCAACAAACATATTCAAGAGAACGACAACCCTCTGCCTGCGATATCATGAGAATCAAAATGAGCACCGGAGGGCTAGATGCAATGACTACGAGCGGGAATACCGACACGTGTATCGGGGCCACGGTAAGCCAAAGCATACCCGATAGCCCCTCCAGATGCACGCACAAGAGGTTGGAAGCCGCAAGGTATCCCCCAAGAGGCAAACTCCGTGTTGGTGAGACGATGTTGTACGCTGTTGTGCCCTGTAGTCAACGAGGCGTGGTCATGACTCCGTCTTTTCGCCTCTCCATCATCAGGCGAAATAGTTGCAAAGCAGGTGGTTCATCACCGATCTAGAGATGGCATACGCCACAAGACACAACCAATCTCCTTGGACATCTCAGCTCCTCGTCGCCAAGAGACCTGCACCATTCCCCCGAAGGTCCTCGGCGCTCGATTCAAGGCGACAATTCAAGGCAGTATCGTCTACTACGATGCCTTGACGTGGGCATCAATCAATCAATCAATCAATCCTCGTCGCCACGCCGGTCGCGAAACCACACACAGCCGAACGGACGAAGCTCCGGTCATGCACGGCTCGATGGTTGNGATCAATCCTCGTCGCGATGGCGGTCGCGAAACCACACACAGCCGAAAGGACGAAGCTCCGGTCATGCACGGCTCGATGGTTGGTAGAAAGCACGCGGAGAGTCATCGGCACGCCGCCGAACAGTGGTACCGGCAGCAGAAGACAAACGAGGCAACCCTGCACGGCGCAGTTGTGGGAGCAGTAGCGGTGGTCGATGTTAGTGTGTAGTGGACGTACTTTTGTCACACCCGTTTGCGGCATAAGAGTCTCAGTCAAAACCATGTACTTGTATGAGTCGTGAGAGTCCTGTCCTGCCATGGTGCGTAGACAGCAACCTATGCAGTACAGGGACAACAAGCATGTCGGGCAGTCGACATCGTACGGTGCGTCAGTCTTGAACGAAAGAGGCGGCGTTTTCGTCCAACCCGTTGAGCGCGAGCGGTGATATGGCTGAGGTGACCGCGCAGTGAGCGTGCGTCAGGTACGAGAAAACAATCGGTCTCGCATGCGAAAAAGCGAGCATGGAACATCGGCTCCCAAGGGACCTGCGCCACGATATCTGCGCTATTATTCGCTGATCTGCTCGTACAGCGAGGCCGAGCCGAAACTAGGCGAATGCCACGAAAAACATTCGTTTCAACAACCCGCCAACGAGAGGAATACCGCGTTCTGCCGAACCGTACAATGTGGCAGAGCGCAGGGACGTGCATTCCTGTATATTAGTGATCAGCATCGCTGGGAATGGCCATGATGATTGCTCAATACCGATAGGAACAACACGTGCACGAGGATTCATCCGCGTTGATCGAAGAACTATTCTTTTTTGATCGCAGATGTAGTGCAATGGGTGATGTAGCCCATACTTTCAGATACAACTCGACGGAGGTTGATCAAAGTTGACAGCGTCCGTGTTCTGACGTGGAGTCCTGTGACATCCAGCACAAAAGTTCTTTTGCACACTTTGAGGGAAGAGAGTACCGCGCTCCTCTCGCATCAAAAATCGCAAGCACAGCAGGAGGGGTAGGTAGGGGGCATCAGGGAGATGAACTCTTCTGTGTGACGATGGATTGGACCTCCCTAGGAGAATGCTGTGAGCAAAGATAGAAAGTGACAAAAAAAAATGCCATCACAACTTGTGATAAAAATTCGAGCTCACATTCTGCTGTTCGATTATCAACTTGCCAACCACAAGTATGTCGATTCAACCTCAACCAAATCCCCAAGTATCAAACTCACATATGTTTCGTTGTTGTCGGCGCTCATCCTCTGAAGCTATCTGTTGTCAGCACTACGTTCGCGAAGCAGCTCGTCGTGGAGTGCCAACATCTCTCTCAGCTCGTCCTGGGGCACCAGGTCATTACTCACAGCCGCCACTGATGCAAGCAACGCCCCATGAAGTTCCCAACCGTACACAGTTAAAACGAGGCAAGGCACACATGAACTTAAGTGGCACGAGGGTCTCAAGCGAAAATGCGAAGGAGAATAGTCAGCGGCTTAGTTGTGCAACTAAGCCAGAACAGGTGGGGTATCGCGACGTGAAAACACGAAAACGGCATCAAGCGTTTGGGCACACAAGTGAAGGCCAAGCTCGCCGGGATGACCAAGGACCCATCAAACAAACCACAACACACGAAAACAGTTCGACTGGTCAAGGTGACCATGGTTCACCAAATAAGTCCAACTACGACATCCGGTCGAGACAAAACGCTCGAACACCATCAGAGACAAATGATTCCACGCGGCTCGGTTTGCGCGCCGATAATACGCTTGTGAGTGAGAAAATTGCGGAATGGAGAGAGGCGGGGTCTAGTATGATATGAACCTTGAAAATACCGAGTTTGAAATGAACCTTTGCCTTGCCGCAAAGTCACGACAACAGCGGAGCATACTTCCTCCGCACGTTAGAGATAGCGGAAAGCCTGTGGAACGACTTTTGCCCGAAGCTGCTCACGAGGCGAGACCCAAATGAAAGCATGCGAACGCTGAGTGTGATTGTTCTCGGATCACTGTAGACAAGGCACGCATATCTAGTGGTCGTGAACACAATACCGACGTACATTTGCGGGTGATCCTGTCAACTGCCCTCTGAAAACGGCCCAGCTTGGCATCATGCTCGCGATGCAGCTCATCGTACTTGCTATGCACTTCCTTCAGGGGTTCCACCGCCTCTGCCAGCTGCCCCAGGGTCACCACATCATTGCCCGCCGCCGGTGCTGATGTACAAATACCCCGTCGAGTAGGCACACACAACATAGCGGAGCAAGCGATAGAGCGAAATCGATGTCTTTGGCATGAGCGTCTCAATTTTCGAACGTGTGACGGGGAGAGCGTGTTTGGTGAGATAGGGGGGCAAAGTAAACTCCAACCAGGCAAGTGGCTAGATCGCGTTTTCACCGGCGAAGCGTTCTACGTGAGAAGGCACCATGCTAAACAGAGCAACCAACCTACTGAATGCTCGCGCATAAGGGTACTATCCGTTATGAGGGGAGAGGGCTAGCAAAATAGGGCGACGCCTGTACCAAGCATTTGATGAGGTCAGGATGAGACGCCAGTTGCGCTGAGACGGATGAATCTTCACTCAGACACGAACGCATCTATGCACGATATTGTCCGTGCAAGTCCGTCGTTTGCTCCTCCAAAGCAACGGGTAGATATTTTTCCGCTTCACTTGGTCGTGTCTGGACAAAAACCAAACGCTCCTTCGGCATTAATGCTCGACGCAGTTACCACACACGCATGCCAGCGCAGAACAAATCGAAGGGTCGCCACCCCGAGCCCCGTGCAGAAGATTGGGAATTTACCTCTCTCTTGAGCCCTCTCGAGAAAGTCATCCACCGTCTCGGTGACGACAGCTTGCCGCTGCTTCAAAGCCAGCCCCCCCCCTGTCGATGGTCGTGGATTGCACCCGAACATGACATTGCGTGCGGTAGCGCCACATGTGGGTCAAGTACGTGTTGAGTGGTGGCGTAGGATGAGGCTTCATTTCACTACAGAAGATTCCGGACCCAACGGGAAAATGTCACAATGTCGCTCATTTTGCATCCACCTGGCCATCACACTTACCGCTGGGCACCAAGCTATCCGAGTCCGGCCCAGTTTTCGCCACCATTTTGTTCACGATTTTCATCTGGAAACCAAACGCGGCGGCATGCAGCATGCTGGTGTCAAACGTAGACATCGGCCAGTGAACATCGCTTGGTTCTGACGAGCTACGTTCCACGACGGTGGAACTACTGAACGACCGTGTGCATGCTTGATGGTGAGCTTCTCGATCGGCAAAAAAATGAAGAGAGTTTCTGAACTTACTGAATACTACTGTAAAGCACATTCACCGTACCTGAGACTCCAGCTTGGCGTTTTTTGCATTTGCCTCTTCCAAACCGTCCTTAAGCCTGGCGTTCTCTTCTTTCGCAGCTTCTAGACCAGATTCAAGTTCGACATGTTTCGCATGAGAAGCTTCCAGACCAGCTTCAAGCTCGACCTGTTTAGCATGAGAAGCTTCCAGGCCGGCTTTAAGCTCTTCGTGCCTTGCTTCCGTACGAATGCGCATGGAAGCCATGCGCTCCATCAACGCTGCCACGTCAATATCACTCTTGGCAGCACCGTCAGGAACGGCTGGACGAGTAGCTGCAGCATGCGACTGCCGTGAAGCTGGTTGGGCGGAGCTAGCGTCGTGATTGGCACGCTCCTGCGTGCCGTGAGATGTCAAACCAACTTTCCGCTCGGCCTCTGGGAGTATAATCCCGACAAGAACTTTCACCTGGGGATGCATTATGTTTCATCAACGCGTTCATTTCCATTAGATATTGCTCCCGCTACAAAATACCGCGAGTGTGTGACGCTGTATGAGCGAGTCCGAGTGTCTGCGTGATACACCGACAGAACCACAAGTTAGTCGCCGAACTCCTTGTCCCTTGGGCGAAGAAATCTATATAGGTTCACTTGGGAATCTCTCCGAAGCAATGCACAAGGGTGGGAGTTGCTTGATATATCACGTATGACAGCAGTGTAAGTGAACGGCTCCAACGACAAGAGGAGGATCAGCCAACGTTTTACTTGCTTCTTCTGAAACTGCGCTGGTGTTTGTGCTCCCGGCCCACTGAGGTTGCCCCGGGACAGGCGAACGTGGCCTAAGGTTGAAATCGTGTACGGTTTCTACAACGAAACATAGAGGAACTCAACACAACCGACAAAAGGACATGAGACGCGCGGGGACGGTCCATACAACAAGCGTTCCTAATTCACGGCAAAAAGGAAAAGACGGCTACAGGCCGTGTTTGGATTCATCGCATGAATCGACGTCACGCATGCGCGGTTCGAGGGGTTGCTACGTGCCGTCCTGATGGACACAAGCTGGGCCAGGCGAAAAGCTCACTTTCGTTCGTTCGAGTCTCATTCTGTCGTTTCCACGAATTTGGGCTTGAAATTTTTTGTCTGCTCTCATGCGACAGTATGGGAAGCGCAGGTGCCAGAATTGTTTGAATCTGATTTGAGCAAGGTACCAAACCATCAGTTGGGGGCGGAGGGGGGGATACTTCCGGTACTGAAATCAGCATAAAAAAAGTTACACCGAATAAGCTGAAACTTGGTGTGCACGTACCTGGGAGCAGTGAGAGAAAAATGGTGATTGTTACAAGGCTCACATCATCCTCTTCCAAGAGATATGGCCTCGTACAGAATCCGACACAACACACAAGATAGCCAAGGAAATGTGAAGTTATCGCAAATACATCACGTCTTTTACGAGTTGGAATCTGAAGTTTTGACATGTGGTCGGTATTAGAACAACCAAGACCTTGACTGGAAGCACCTTTTTTTTTTTAGCCACACAAATACAGGATCACCATTTGTCCTATAATAGGGCTACCTCGTGAAAAAAAAAAAAGGTTGCTTCCAGTCAAGGTCTTGGTTGTACTAATACCAACCACATGTCAAAATTTTAGGTTCTAATTCGTAGAAATCGTGGTGTAAATCGTTATCAACCATTTTGAATGCAACTTGGCTGGCCCAGCTTGTAGTTGAGTGCCGTTTCAGGCTAGATATGTGCGATTTCGGGTTCGAGCGGATGGATATTTTGGTTATGTCTACGGGCAAGATAGTTACCCACTCTACTTCATATCGTGTTCCCGTTCTCCCCGGCTGTAGAATGGCGTCTAACCAAATCTGTACTTTACCTTCTCGTCAGCAGTGTTTGTGCCGCGGAGGCAATCCCGCCCAACTGCCTTTAGAAGAGTCTGGAGATGCCTTTTCCCAAGCTCCCTCCCAGCCTGGAAAATACGGCGGCGAAAAGCAAGAGCGGTGGGGATCTAGTAGCCGGCGAAAATACGGCGTGCAAGATGGCTGCTGTCCATGTCATCATTATTCGTCAAGCAGGACTGGAAACACAAAGGCTTCGACGGCAATAGAGCGCTCAGAGGTCTTCGTACACCTGTACGGCAGGAGTCGTTTTCCTTGCGTCGAGGTTGTTCGGCTCGTAGTCCGCCACTTCTTCGACAAACCAGTCCATGACGGCTTCCTCGGTCGCAGGGTCTGGCGAGGCGCCAATATCTTGGCTCCATCCGCCCCCGCCTGTAGCAAACAACCCACGGTACCCCGCCCGAGCACAAGATCTCAACGTTGTATTGGAACACTCATCCCACTTAAAAATTGTTGCAGGTGCCTGAGGCCGTGGCAATACCCTTGTAACAGGGCTCACGGTGGGTTCAACGGGTGTCGCGACAAGACCCCAAGAAAAACCTCACTATTTAGTTACCACATAAACGCCGAACATATGTATCAATGGACGGCCAGACACCGAATGGGGGCTGGGTGCACCGAACATTAAGGTGATGGAATTACAGCGCTCTGGATCGTCTACTATCTTCAGCAGGGCAACGTCGAGCGGATGGTTTCGTAAACCACGTACCCACCGCACAAAGTTGAGCCAAACACCATGGCGCTGAGGGTAGATGTATTTCTACAAATACCGTTGGGGTTCCATTAACACAATTGCCCACAAGCAAGTTGGTGCGTACGTACACAATGTTGAAGGATGGCGGGCTCAGCCATCCAACAAACCCGACTCAGCAAAGCGGCATTGGCTGCCAAGGGACAAGCCAATTGCGCTGTGGATCCTCACCCTCAGCACCACCCATGCCTGCTGTGGTGTGCGTCCCACGTTCTTCAGCCGAGTCAGTCGTCGGGAGGGTGCCGTCCACGTACCCATCCGAGAGTTGCAACGCCAACGTCCTCGCCAGCCAACAACAGTCAGCCGAGTCGGGCGCGATGTCGCAGATCTGCCAGAGTATCCGAAACGTCGTGGGTGCGTCAGTGTCGACGATAGCACCAGCCAAGGGGCCGGCGC